GCCACCGCTGGTGGTGTTATTTGCAGCAAGGATTTACCGTTTAACATCCGCTGGACTCAGAGTCTCTGCCAGAGCTTGCACACACCATTGCAAGCCTTCCAAGTTCACCTAGGGCCCTGCCCTATGAATCAGTGTAAAACAAGAGAATCTATTAGCAAATTTTGGAAAGCGCAGTCTGTCGAACGCAGTTGCAAAGTTGTTCTTTTTCTATGGCCCCCCGTTAGTATTTCGTACTCATTGCTAAATTGCAGATGGCAGACTGCTGCTCGCCACGTTGAATGGGAGCGAGCGCATAGTGCGATGCCTACAACATTGGCCCCTCCGAGCATGCTGTGACTTTCTTGAACATCTGACACATCAGTGAACATGCTGGGAATGTCAGTAAACATCCAGCGATCTTCTTACTCGTATGTTTTGCGCTGGGCATGCTGATTTCATGCTGGGCATGCTGGGAGCCGGGAGCCTGCAGTGTCGGTATCCATGGTTTGAGACTTTGCTCCCTGCCACTGCTTTTCGGAGAGCACTCTGAGAGAAGGCCACAGGCAAAAGTGGACCAAGGAGTGACGCTTGACCGATGAAATCTTGAGACTTTGAGCCTGATGGATTTGATTGCACTATCTTGTACTCCTGGGCCACCCCAAAAGCTCCAAAGTGATCGTCATCCTGGGCAGGTCCTGACGGCGCTTTCCTCGCAGTTGCTGAGGCGGCTGACTCCTGTCCAGAGGTGTTGAAATGTCCGGATGTGTAGAGATCTGATATGTCCATCTTCTCCCATGGAGCGCTTCACTGAGCGCTTCGCTCCGCGAATCATGTTCAGACTTTCCGCACAGGATGGCTGCTCGAAGCTGAACGACATTGAGTTTGAGTTTGAGGCAGGACAATGACGCCTGAAACGTGCCAGCTATCCAATGGCACTGATCAAAGGAGTCCTTTTGTTCATTTTGTTCAATCCTTTCACCATTGTTCGCCTCTTTGACTCGACCCCCTTCATATTTTTGACTGCCCTTCTCGTTCCTGTTTGAACACCGGTGAGTAGGGGTGCAATGAGGTTTGCCTCTTCGACCGTGTGACTCAACGGGACCTGAAAAGCGGGCACAAGTTCACGCACCCCGGCGGGTTGAGGGTTCACGCGCTGTTTTTTTTGGAGTGTGTTTCTTTGAGAATAGTAGCGTCCTTGCTACTAGTTAGCCATGGCCCCAAACCTAGTAGCTTCTAGCTACTAGTAGTAAGGTTTCTTTGAGAAGCAATCGGTTAGTTGACATCTTATTTTTGGATTTGTCATCAGTAGACGGTCATTTTGAATGGTTATTTTTGGCAGTTTTGATGGTTTTATATATCGTAATTACGACTGGCAAACTCCGTGTTACTCGAGTAGACTCGCCAGATCTCTCAGGCTGGGTCAGAAGGGCAATTGGGCAACCTCACTCTGGGAGAATGGGCAGCACAGGAGCGTGAAGAGTTGCGTGTTGAGAACAAAGAAGGTTGAGGAAGGAGAGATTCGTTTCCTCAGTTGAAGTCATACAACTTAGTTCATAATCTTACAGTATATAGTTGTATCGGGACTCGTGTTTATTCTGTTAGGACCGACTACACGAAGCTAGCACGCGCCTCGAAGGTCATCCAGAAGACTGAGGGGTCTTGTCTACTGTGGATTGGATTGAAACGAAAGGAAACAGTCCCAAGCTAAGCATAACCCAGTAGTGTCCCTTGTTCAGAGCTAAGATCATGGACCATGGTGACTTTTGTGCACCTGCCCACAAGCATCGAGAGGCACGCAACTACAGTTTGTGCAGTGAACAGCAGTTCTTGCGCTTTGCTGTAATTCGCATTTTCATGCGTGTGCGTGTGGCATGCTTCTTACAGTTTTAATGTCGTTGATTTTTATTGAACAGCCTGCTCTTGTGATTCAGACCTGACGTGATGTGACTTTTCTTTTTTTGCGATATGACTTCTGTTGGGCCACATGGGCGTGATGTGACTTTCAGGGCTTTAAGATTCACCCAGATTCACCATAGTCATAGGATGCCGGATGAATGCAGCGACAATTTAGAAGTCAAATTTATGCCTTGTAGATAGTGCCCTTTTGATAGCCCGCTCCGCCCTGGCATGATCCAATGTTTTTGCCCCAAAGCAATTTGCTCTTGGAGTTGTCTTGTTTGAGCAGGACCCTGTCGTTTGCTGGTGTTTTGGCTCTGTCTACGATGAGGATATTCAGCATTGATCAGAGTGGACTTTCGTTACAAACTCTCACCACTTTCTCATACAAGACCTAAGGGCACGAAGATGTTTTGCTTCTCGTTTCGTTTGCTTGGTCGGAGTCTACGATGCAAGAATTGCTGGTGAGTGGACTGGGCCCCGTTTATATTGGGCTTCGACTCTATTGACAACTTGACAAGTGGAGCAGACTACTGGCTACTGAACGTCCCCAAGATATCAAGTCCCAAATCCTCCAAGCACTGAAAGAACACAGTTTTTTGGCTTTGTGTAAGGAAGAAGTAAACATGGCGTAAGTAGCTCGATGCCATTGTAATACATACAATCCTTTTGATCCTTTGAGCTCTCATATTCTGTTAGGTCGAGATCAACTTTGAGTGCTCCGTCAAGCCAGCCTTGTTGTCGGTCTTGGGCCCGGACCAAAAGCCTGAGAGCTGGTCGGCATGTTTGAACAGAATCCCTAGGTCCAAGAGACTCAAGTCTGCAGCTACACGGCGCGAATGACTGGGACTCGGTGAATGTGTGAACTCAGCTACGCATGGTGGCATTGTCATTTCGTGAAGTTCACTCTTCGACACTCTATACCTCAAGTGAAGACTTGAGGCAAACGCCCGCTGCATGCCCTGCGCTGAGCTGAGTTGCAGACAAAAAGTGGCAAGGGCTGCCAGCAATTCCTGACATGACCTTGTGGACACACCACGCCTTTTCGCGAAGGACTTCCTGACCGCATTTGGCAAGTTGTAAGCTTTCCACTGCTCGCTCTGCTCGCAGGGGGACAGTGCTCAGAGTCGAAACACATCTAAACAAAGCGTGAAGAAACCACCAAAGAAGCCACCCCCCCACAAACAAAACTGCGAAGAAGCTGATGCAAAGATATCAAGATGAACAGGCTACTGCACAGCAATGATGCAAGGACTCTCAAAAGTCGCATTTTTGGGCCTGGAGTTTCCCTGCATGGTAAGCAGCTCAATTCTAGAGAAGGTTGTAGCTCAACAGCAGACAAGTCAGATGGCTTGGGCGAGGCTGTAGCAAGGCGGGAATCACAACAGAAAGACATTTGTTGGAGTTTCAAGGAACGCTTCACCAGATTGTTGCTCTGAGGGCATGACCGCGAATCAGCAGAGAGCCCTCACAAAGAAACAACAGATCAACATAGCGCGACCCTCAGAAATCAGAAGCCTCCAGTGTGCCTTGCCATTGTGCAGTTGTCCCTGCGGCCAAGCAAGATTCTGGATTGCTAGAACACATTTACTGGTATAAAAGTCATATGACGACTACTACTACTACTACTACTCCTACTACTCCTACTCCTACTCCTACTCCTACTACTACTACTCCTACTCCTACTCCTACTCCTACTCCCACTACTAGTAGGACGTCCTTGTTGTTTCACGCAAGCTACGATGTTGATGTGACACTTGCGCCCTAGAACCAACCGCTGTTCAGGTGGTCAAATTGCTGAACTCAAGACGAGACAGGGCCGAAGAACTGCGTGACAGGCCAGGGGCACCGCACCAGTACCAGTGGCCTGACATTGACTGCGATTCACGTAGCTTCTTGCTCAATCCAACTTGTTTGGCAGGATTGCCCAGGGGAAGGGCATCCGTGCTCACGGACAGGAATTTGATCTAGCAACCCTCCGCGAGTCCTTGGATTTATGGGAGGCACAACTTTCGGATGGTTACTTTTCTCTTGAGAGAGTGTTGCTTTGGACAGCTTTGATTGAGGCGCAGCATGGGGAGGGGAAAGATCAGCAGCCGCTGCCGGAGCAACTTCAGCCTCAGCCAAAAGAGCAACCGTGGAAGCAGTTGCCACCACGGCAACCCAAGCTTCCTCCTCAAGAGCAAGAAGTCGCAACACCACAGCGGAAAAGCGCAAAGCCGGGCTGTGTATCTTGACAGCAAGCACAACCAGCAATATAGCACAGTCTCTATCAGATTTTGTTGCATGGGGTGTACACGACCTATTCGCCAATGGAAATTGGTTGATCCAAGCACTGAGGAGAAGCACATATTTTCAAGCCCTCGAGAAGTCGCTCGAAACAAAGGCAGGTGATGCATGCAGCCCATGCGACTGACAAGCTCCTCCAAAAGCTGGCTGTGCAGTGAAGTCGAGCATGTTTATCAGCTTATTGTCCATGATTATCATTCAATCTCTGAATGAATGCCTCTTATGTTGCCTTTTGTTTCACAATTTCCAGAACAAGTTCAATTTCGTCCTGTTTCAATTTTTCGTTGAAGAAATGCCAGACTTAACTCACCCTGAGCTCTTCACCATGTTGCATCTGCACCTGATTCATTGAAGCCTCCCCGTTCGCCGGTTGCGTTTGGTCTCCGATCGAGTCGAACGCGAGTGGAACAGCGCTGCCTCGTAGTCGTAGCGCTGCGACCAGACGTTGATGAAGCGGACACGCTGCGGCACCCAGCCTCGAAGCGCCCAGCCTCCCCATCTGCGGGACACAGGCGGAACGGAGGGACGAGAGGGACGATGGTTGAAGATTTTTGAGGAGGAAAAGAGGAGAGTCTGGGCAGTCTGGGGCTTCGGCTCAAAAAGGGAGTTTTAGGGAACAACGACTCACACGCATCGTATTTTTGATACATGACAAAGAAGGCAAACTATACCAGCGATCAGTTTGTCACATAGTGAACTTGCTGAACACATCGCCAGATGAGGCCAGCATGGTATATTGATACATTCCAAACCCAATCCATGGCCTTTCTGGGATCTCAGACGAACCTTTTTAATCCTTTTTGGGCCCAACGACGAAAAACCCAAGACCTCAATGTTTCGATCGGACGCACTGCACTGAACTGGTCGCCATGGCGAACGCACAGAACTTGGTGCCGAATGCGGACCCACGCTCCGACTGGGAAGGCGAGGTCTTTGAGACCATGTTTCCGGTGAAATCCACGTTGGACATCGACTCCTGCTCTGTGACAGTCGGGGAGGAAACCGGAAAAGCCAACGCCGCAAGCATCTTCCTGCGGAAGGGCTTTGTGATACTCCGGGGTGCCCTCTCCGCTGATCAAGTGGATGAGCTTCAAGAGACTTGCAAGAAACTCTATGGCTCCGTAGGAAGACTTGATCCTGAAGGCCAAGGCAATCGGAATCCTGGAAGATATTCCTTTGGGGCCATCACTCCATCGGGGCAGTGCCTTCACCTGAGGGCTTTCCTTCACTTGTTACAGGTGGACTTCATCCATGAGATTCTTGGGCAAATCTACCAGGTGAACGTGAACTCGAAGGGTCCGGTCATCTCGGGGACTGAGTCGGGGTATTTGGTTCATGCTGCTGGAGGAGACTTTTGCACAGGACCGAAGCAGGTGCATGAGGTAGTGGGATTCAATTGTGAGGCAGGGTTGTAAATCCCATCCTCATCCTCATAGTCAGCTGAATTCAGTGGTGCAATCAACACCAGGACTTGCCCTTTTGGACACAGATACTCAGATACTGCATAGCCAATCTGAATGAAGCTAGGGATTGTCCCATGGAACATGTTTAGCCATCAAACACAACTGCACCAACGTAACAAGTGTTGCCAACCAATGAACCCACCCTCCACCCGACTCCGCCAACCAAAGCCGCCAGCCTGTGTCCAGCATTTGAACTTTATGAGCTCCTTAGCTTAGGGATGACAAAGGCCCAAGAGTTGATATAGCAAGAGGCCAAGTGCCAGGCTATGATCAAGCTAGTGATAGTTGTGCCACCTACTTAATCTATTGGCGCAAGGCTTCACACTTTGATGAAAAGGCTCAAGGTATGAAAGCGACTATCTTCCTGTGAGCTGGCAGGAGCAACTTGGGAGTTTCAGAAATTGCACAGCGATATGCGACCTGCGCAGCCACTGAAAGGCAAAGGCTTCGGCAAGTTTGCCAATTCACCGATCCACAGCAAGAGCAGTCCTCCTCTGATTTCAGCCAACTTCGTCATTCAAGAGTTAACTCCTTGGAATGGGGCCATGCGGATCATCCCATGGAGTGAGATGTACGACTACTGTGGAAGCAATCTGCTGCAGCCAGCACCAGAGCTGGAAGAGGAATATTGGCATCGGAAGAACTGGCTGAAGTCGAAGATCTTTCCCTTGAAGCCGGGCGACTGCATACTTCGCACCTTGACGAAGCAGGTTTTGTGTGGTAGGTCCACCTTCTAAGCACTCTCCTCCGAGAGTGCTCTTCTAATGGTAAAGACCAGCAATTCCAGTGCCTCCAGCTTTGGGCTTCTCTCAAACTCTCATAGTTTTCAAATCGATTCAGAATGATTCAGATGAATGATTCTCGCCCAGGAGACATCAGAGTATGGCATGGGGGCTGTCCCAACTTGAGTGGAGAACCACGGTTCTTGCCGAGCATGGAAGTTTGTTCCAGAGCTTATCATTGCTACCTGAAGGAGACCCAACCAGACAGCCGCAAAGCACGAGCTGCCCTGCCATTGAAGCTGTATGAAGGTCTTGATGCAGCTGGCAAATCTCTCACTGTCCATTTGGTCACTGACGGAAAGCAAGACGTTGACTTACATATTGAAGACTACACGTGGCTGAAGCGAGCATCAGAGCTCACCTCGCCACCAAGGGACTGTTATGACATGAGCCTTTACAAGTTTATGAAAGACAACCACCATGAAATAATCATGATGCTTCAGGCTTTGCACCGGGAGGGTGCAGAACGCGGGTTTGTCAATCCATCTGAGCTTCTGGCTTTGCAGAGCCTGCACCCCAAGTTATATGCAATGGCTTCTGAATGGTTTGCAACCCAGGCAGGATAGGATGGCTCGTTTTGTTTCTGTTTTTCTGCGGCGTACGTGTTCATTCATAGTTTGCAGGCGGGTAGATTCATCACGGTGCCTCGTTCCTGTACTGGATATTCGGCAATTTTTGCCTTGCTACCCTGAGGCCCCTGAGGGTGTGGGTGTGAGAGCAAAGCAGAACCGATGGAACTCACGTCGTTGCGATCAGGGAAGGTGGACAGCTCGGAGGGCTTGATTGACCTCGGCTTTTGGGGAAAGTTCCACAAGTTGTGGGACAAGATTTGGGTATTTGTGGGCCCAAAAAGCAAAATCGTTTTGGGTCGTCAATCTTGAGGTTTGGGTCCCGGTGAATCGAGCGACACTCAGCTGACTCAGCTTCCTTGGAAATTCAGACCGAGATGTTCACAAGACGTGAGCCAGAGACGCTTCTGTGCGTCGCTTTTTGCGCGACTTTCGAGCACAGCGGTGCGGTTTTCAGCGTGTGACACATTTTGTTGATCGAAAAGAGGGACTTGTGTATGAAACAAATGATACCTGCAAAATTCAATGATTTCAAGTGAGACTGTCTGACCTGTTTCGCTCAGTTCGCTTGAGAAAGAATCGCCGAAAAGCGCCAGAAGAGGAGCACGTTCGCCTGGGCAGGTGCGACGGTTGCTGAAAGAGGAATGGAGGGGGAGAGAGAAGCACAAAGGAACACCGGAAGCACGGTAGACAATCAGGAAAACAGAGTCGTCTGAACGAACCCAACAAAGTCTGCACTTCTCGAGTCAACTTCAGGCTGAAGCAGAAAGCCTCACTGTCAAAGCCTTGAAAGCCCGACTGAGAGAGCATGGCCTGCTGGGTGTCTTAGCGTCTGGGGGCTGCGTGGAGAAAGCAGAACTTCAGGCGGGACTTGTTTGGACGGACATGTTGGAGGCCATTGCTATTAGGTTGGAGGCCATTGCTATTAGGTTGGAGGCCATTGCTATTATATAGGTTGGAGGCCATCGCTAGTAGGTTGGAGGCCATCACTATCAGCAACTCAAAAGAAGATTGCATTGTGTTTTTTTCCCCAGATAGCTGCTGCCGTGCTGATGCTGGTGCAGGTGCCGTTGCTGGCTGTAGATCGGCGTTTTGGTTCTGCGAGTGCTGCTGCCGCGCTGGTGCTGGCGCTGGCTTTGGATCGGAGTCTCGTTTTGCGGGCGCTGCTGCCGTGCTCGCTTGTGCTGGTACTGGGTCGGCGTTTCGTTTTGCGGGCGCTGCTGCCGTGCTGGTGCTGGGACGACATCATGTCATGCCAGGGATCACATGCTGTCATATTGTGCATGACAACGTGTTGCGCAGCAATGGTCATAATGTCGTCCGGGCAGCTTTGGCTAGGCCTTGCCGATCTTATGTCTGTGTTGAGCAAAGCTGGCGCACTCAGTTGTTAGATGTTGCACATATTGGTGCCGGTGACATCCGTCCGTGGCAGTATCCTTCAAACCTATACACGCGCATTCTGGGGTCTAGTCTATGCCGGTGTATTCTTGAAGCTTACTTTGTTGTATCATGAGCTTGGAGGCCATTTCTTCATATTTCTTCTAGGTCTAGGTTGGAGGACGTCGTTGGTGGGCGGAGCCGGCAGAACCTGGTGGTGCACTTATTGTAAGTTCATTTGGTTGGTGGACAAAACGTTGAGGGGCTTGGGCCGAGGGTGGACCAATGTGAAACATGTGTACCTTTTGTCAGGCACTCTGGGAGAGGTTCGAAACATGGCAGCAGCGACCCTTGCAAGAACTGCAGGATCAATGACGCTTGGCAGCACTTTAGTGCCGAAAGATGTCAACACAAGCAAAACAAGCAAACAAAAATGGGAATGACCGTTTTATTTGTTCAAAGAGCAGGCATCGGCGAATGAGAACACGACATGAGGCGGCACACAGAAGCAGGTGCAGATTCACCAACGACCAAGTTGAATAGGTGCTTACCAGGTTTTTGGTCCGACACAAAGTTTCTTGCAGAACAATATTATACTATAGGATTTAATCTGTGATTATCGGGTTCGGTGCAAAACGATGCCTTGCCACAAAAGAAGAACCTTTCAAAACAGGTCAGCCTTAAAAACATGATTAGCCCTTCACAATGGAATTCCGTCAGCTGAGATGCAATATCGCTATTGAATACGAATCCAGTTAGCTCACATTATTGCATTTCTCCTACACAACAAGAGCTCGAACGCCATTTTGCGAAACTTTTCGCACAACATCCTTTGTCCTATGAAACCGTGAAACGCAATAGTAACAAGCACGTCACCAAGCTAGAGATAGGCTGAAGAGGGTTCTTGCTGACAAATATGTGCAAAAATATTCAACCTGAGGTGTTTTACCGAGACGCTGGTGTTCTTCTGAAGGATTTGACAGTTTAGCTGAATCTTTACATGTGGACTTAAAACCTCAGAACTGGATTTGCAGAGGTCTCTCGAGCCTTGCAGGTCCACGGAAGGTCTCATCACCCTTTTGGTACTTGAGGTATTCGGGGGTTGGGTGCAAGACTTTTACATCCAAAACAGCTCACTGGGTCTGCCTATCCCAAGGCGAAGCGCTGGGCGGTCCACGTTTTGACAACGCCTGTGACGCTGCCAAATACTTGATAAAGCTTCCGACTCAGCTGAACTGTTTCTCCCTGACCTTGCGCGACTTCCAAGACCCAGACGAATCGTCCAGTGTGCTTCCAAGGTCACAGTCCGAGCCCGGAAGGCCTAGCCATTCAGCAGGAGCAGCTGGCGCTCCAAGCCGGTCAGCCGGAACTGGTGCTCCGAGTTTCATGGCGGCGTCCAAAGCGTTCCCGGCACCGAAGACATGGCGAATTTGGGGCCAAACGCCGCCTTCGTCGGCGCCCACGGTGCCTCCGGCCAATCCAAAAGTTGCACCAGTTGCAACCTCTCCGCCGAACAGGGAACAGGACTGATGAGACTTGAGCAGTTCAACGTGACATCTGACTCAGTATGACCTAAGCAGAGCTTTAGTTTACATGTAAGATTTATAATCACCATGTATCATTGGTGCATGGTCCTGCAAGCCATCACCTGCAGGATGCTCAGAAGGAAGCTAGTCGTTCGCCTGGCTGGAGTTGAAAGTGTTGTGAGTCGTTTTCAGTGAAAACATGGAAGTTCATGAGGCGTGTCACACTTGGCATTGTGTCGGTTGTCGGTCCCATCTCTCAAGCAGGGAGGGCTGAGCTCATAGCACCTAGGCCTCCTGGCCTTTTCATGTCGGTGGAGCAAAAGCGCGTGCCGAGGGGATTGAGGGATTGGAGCATCCAGGCTCCGCATTTGCATCGGCAGCGGTTGCCTACGGTTGGCCGCTGACAATCACTAAGGAGTTTCTGCCGGCGAACGAGCAGGCACTGAGCGCCTTGGAAGGCATCCAGACCTTGCCTCTTGCCTGACCTGGGTCTCTTTCGGTCAGTCGGTCAGGAGTGTGCACGACTTCGCCTCTTGGAGCGGAAGCTTCAAGACGCCCAGCCCAGCTTCCGCAGTATACGGGGGGGGACCAGGGCCATGAAGCGCTTGGATGGCTTAAAGCTGGATGAACGAGCGACGGCGCTGTTGCTGCCGGTCGCCAGCAGGTCTAACTCCCAGCTGAGCTCCTTGACGCCATCAGGGTGCAGTATCCTGCCGGTCTCACTTCGACTGCCTTGCTCGACACGGTCTCCGCGCAGGATCAAGCTTGAAGTCGCGACCGAGATGGGCGTGCCAAATGTCGTGCCCATGTCTTTGACCACCGATGCCCAGCGTCAAACAGAGCACAAGGGGCAGCAGATCGATTTGCCAGATCCGGACGACCTCCTGGAGTCATGCCAGCCTTGCGCCAAGGATCAAGAGACAGCGCTGCTCTGGATGCAGAGCGTTGCGACGATTGCTCGCCAACTTGGGGCATCCAAAAGCTTAAGTTGTTGTAAAAGTGCTTTGGTTTGTTGTAAAAGTGCT